AATTGGTTTAAATGTAAAAGCTTAGACAATTGGGAAAAATATCAAACGACCCACAGGGAGTCTAAAAGAACAATCTATGACGCTAAAAATTCTGCTTTTAATGATCTTTATAATAGATTAGATACTAAGGATGGTGAAAAATATATGTACAAACTAGCCAAATAAAGAGAAAAGAAAAGCAAAGATTTAACTCAAGTAACGTGTATTAAAGATGAAAATCAAAAATTACTTTTCTTAGAAAAAGATATTCAACATAGGTGGGTAAGTTACTTTGATAATCTTTTTAATGAAGTTTCTGATAATACGATCGACACGTTTCATTTTTACCGTCACATCAGCAAAAAAGAAGTTGAGGATGCTTTAAAGAAAACCAAGGGTGGAAAGTCTGTAGGACCTGATGATATCCCAATTGAAGTATGGAAATATTTAGGAGATTTAGAAGTTTCTTGGCTTACGAAACTCTTTAATATTATTTTAAAAACTAAAATAATTTTTAACTTTTACAGTAAGTAAATATGATTTTTATGCACAATGTGGAACTGATTTTGTCAAATTTCAATAAGTGTATAATTTACATAAATTATCACAAGGTTTATATATTTGATTAAATATAGAAATGTACAAAACAATTCGAAAGATCATAATATTTTTCATAGACTTGTCTGGCCAAAGGAAACCTACTAAGATTATCCTCATAATTTTCCAAATTATATTTTGATTTTTATTGATTTAGAAAAAGCTTACGATAATGTTCCAAGAGATATCCTTTGGAGAGTTCTCGAGAAGAAATGTGTTGATTTGACTTATATTCAAGTCATTAAAGATATGTATACTAGAGCTGTTACTTGTGTTCAAACTGAAGGAGGATTGACAAAATATTTTCCTATTTCTGTTGGTTTACATCAGGGATCGACTTTAAGCCCATATCTTTTTGCTTTAGTTATGGATGGTCTTACTGGACATCTACAAGAGGATGTACCTTGGTGTATGCTTTTTGCTGATGATATTCTTCTCGTGGATAAAATGAGAGAAAAAGCCCAGGATAAACTTGAATTATGGAGGTCTACATTGGAGTCTAAAGGCCTTCGTTTAAGTAGAACTAAAACTGAATATATGGAATGTAATTTTAGTAGTAATAGCTCTAGTGACAGAAGTGTGACTTTGGGTGATCAAATTATTAAAAGGTGTGAACGATTTAGATATCTTGGGTCCGTTGTCCAAAGCGATGGTGATATAGATGGGGATGTTAATAGTAGAATTCAAGTTGGTTGGTTGAAGTGGAGGAATGCTTCGGGCCTTTTGTGTGATAGAAAAGTAACGCTAAGACTGAAAGGAAAATTTTATAAGACGGTGGTGAGACCTGCAATGCTCTATGGCGCTGAATGTTGGCCTTTAAAAGAGAAGCATAATAATAAGTTAAGTGTTGCCGAGATGAGAATGATTAGGTGGATGAGTGGCTTTACACTTAGAGACAAAATGCGGAATGAATATATTCATGATAGGGTTGGTGTAGCTCCTGTGGCAGACAAAATTAGAGAAATCGTCTTAGATGGTTTGGTCACATTAAACGTCGACTATCTGATGATCCGATTAGGAGAGTAGATGTTTTAGATTCGACTTGTGTTAAGAAAGGCAGAGGTAGACCTAGGAAGACTTGGGCTTATTGTATTAAAAATGATCTTAATTTACTAGAACTAAATGAAAATATGACACTAAATAGGACGCAATTGAGAAAAAGGATTCATGTAGCCGACCCCATGTAGTGGGATTAAGGCTTTGTTTGTGTTGTTGTTGTTGTTGTTGTTGTTGGTTCATCAACTTTACTGAAAACAGTAACTAATTCTAACAATGAGGGTGCATTATTGTGTTCCACATTGGAAAGAACATAGCATTTGGAATTACTGAATTTTTTTTTGTTCACTGAGCTCTTTAGAGAATTCTCATCTATTAAGGAGTTCTGCAGGATGAGAAGAGGAAACAAGATGCTTGATAACAACTGCAATGAAGATAAGAAACTCAAAAATAGACCTAAAGGGTGCAATACTAAATTGCATTAAGAGAGAATATCTATGAAAGCTTGAGCTATACTTCTTTGTTGATGGTGAGCTCCTCAAATATGATAAATACAATGTTGTTTTCATAATTAATTTTCAAATGATTGAAGAAAAGGATGCATTTTTTTATAACAATAAGTTGTGATATTTTGAAAGATGACATAAGAATGCTAAAAAATATATTATATAATGTGAGAGCACTGCTCCGAAAAAAATGCCCCAACCTAGAACACTAAAATTGGATGAGCCATGTCAATATAATATTGAAGATATGAAACCATCCTAGAGTTAGGGAGGATTGGGGAGAAAAAATAAAGATATTGAGCTAAAAATAACAGCAATGCACTCAAGGGTAAAAATTTTTTAACATTGCTTCTTCATTATTGTAATTTAGCTCACAAGCCTTTCTTGTTCTTTCCAAACAGTATCCATCCTACAATAATACATAAAACTGATGACAAATTCTATGAGCCCATTATACATACTTATACATTGCCTGTCCCATTTTGAGCTCTATAGAAGAAAGCAAAAAAACCTTTTTTTTAGAAGAGAGTAATGGAGGAAACAAAATCATGAGTAGCTAAAGATCTATTCATTCCATCATATAAAAGGTCAAACGTACCCTTTTTTTTTTTTTTTTGAGAGTATGCATTTGCATTAAAATATCGAAAAAAACAAAAACGATGCATTTATGCATAAATGCATCTATGATGTACAAAATGGAACCTATCATCTACAAATATGGTAGATAGTTCCCTATCATCATATTCATACATCAAAACAAAAGAACCACTTTGGATACATTTAGCACAAAAAATGGGCAAAGCAACATTTACTTTTATTATTAAAGTGTTGAGAAGTAGCCAAAATAAGTTAGAAAATAATCAAATAAAGTTGAAGCGGAAATTGGATATGCCCTAAACACTTTTTTCTAATCTTGTACATATTGGGAGCCAAAGAGAGAGAATACGGGAAGAAAGAGAGCAAGAGAAGCCTGATACTAACCCAGCCTATGACTTCATTGATGTAAGGTATGAGGTATAGATGGAGATGGATAAGCAAAAGGTGGAGAGGTAGGATGTAGATGAGATAAAGCATCAATCATTTATCATTGTGACTGCAGAAAGAGAGGCTGGATCCCATCATTTGCCATTGTATATAAGAGTGATGTAAAAAAGAGCTAACAAGTACATGAGGAATTTTGTAATACCCAAAAATTGCCAAATAAGTAAAATTTTAGTTGACTTCAAAATATACCCTGTTTTTTCAAATCCTTTAAAAATCATCCAAATTACTTTTATAACACTATATATTTCATTAAGATCTTTTTAATATATAGGAGAATATATTAAATTTTAATTGTGTAAAATTTATTTAATTAATCTACATTTTAGTAAAATTCCCAAGTTTTTTATGAACTTTACTGTTCACCACAGTTTTATTGTAGCAGATAATTTTTTTCCACCAAGGTTGGCATGCAACGGGGAGTGGAAAATTGGACGGCTATGATGGATTATAATTATTTTTATATAAAAATTGGTTTTATCTAATCACATATATATAATAAACAAATGCATTATATGAATTTCCACTCCATTTTCCCCATTTTCATCCCGTCACAGCAACTGAAAGCTTCAAGAGGAAGAGAAATGCTGCAAGTTGAGATAATTAGGTAACTAATTTATATTATTACTAATATATATAAGCATATCATAAGCCAGCACCCATTTCTTTGCATTCTAGTTCCAATAACTCTCAGCAGGAGTATTAGAATGCATGGGAGAGATTAGATTGCAGGAGAAACAAAGAATTGTAATTCTCGGATAAGATGCTGGAATGAAAAGTCGAAGCAGTAAGACTGATTTTAGAGGCTTGTATACATATAGTGCTACTAAAATGGCTTTCGGGCATACTTTTCTAATTAAACAAACAGCAGGCGCATTTATCCAATTTATGCAACTACGAGGTATAAAAAGTAAAATTTCCTTTATAAGTAATTTTCTAAGCATAGAAAATTTTGGTCGTTGCCCCAAAATCAAAAGCAACTTAAAAAGCCTCCTCAAATTAGTAAATATGATGTGGTTCCATTCCTTATTTAAAGTCAATTCTCAAATCAGAAATAATCCAATAAAGTATTGTTTTAAAATATTTCCTTATAACACAAGTCAGGACAGAAAAAAATCTCCTTAGATATATTCAATAATCAACTGTAATCTGTGCTCCCTAGTTCAATTAGTCATATTTATTAAGCAGCCAGTCACAATAGGATAAAGGCTAATATTTCTCTTTTAATGACAATTACATTTTAGCCCTTTTCTTTTTTGTTTGCTTTTAATCCTAATCCCTTACTTTGTCACTCCAAACTCATCAAATATATTTTAGTTTGCCCAATTAGTTTTGGTTTCAGAAATTTTTATAGTCACTCAACAAAAGATGTCTACAAGCAAATAAATTTTTCATATTCATTCTCCAGACAGAAATGACCTTATAATCTGTTGTCCGTCAAAGTTAGAGAAATCAATTTTAACTTACCTACTTATATCTTCATCAATATGCTTTCATCTAATGTCATAAGGCCAACATTTTTGCTTGTCATAATATTTGTTGGCATAATCCTCATAATGTCTATCATAAGCGTTACTCTCACAGCAAGTCCTTTCACAGCCATATTATCAATAGATTCATTACAATGGAGAGATTTAATATTTGGTTCCTGCACCCCAAAACAGCACTCAATATCATTCCAAAGCATAAGAATCATGACCAAAAACCAGTCCTACACAAAACAAAAAAGAGAGAAATGATCCACACTATGGAAGGATGAAGGTCTGGGATGACTACAGATTAGATTAGCAACATGTACCATTGTCCCCATCAGATCCAAGAAGATAAGGTTGGAGAATTAACTAAAATATGGGATATAGAAAAACAGAAAAAAAAACGGACCTTTATAGCAGCCACCGTGCATCTTTCACTAATAGGGCCCGAAGCTTTGCCATGATCTCCCATCCATGATCCACCATTGCAGCCGGAAAAATCAGGAGTAACTGGCGTATGCAAGAATCTGTAGGCAATTGCCGAAATCTGTTCCCAGAATCCACTCATTATACTTGGATAGTTGTGTGAAATGGCTTTCAAGACCTGCAAACACGGAAGAAGAAGAATGCTGAATTGATTAGAAATGGATGAGCAGAGATGGTTTCTTCAGCTAATTATGATGCTAAAATCATAATATAATAATATGTAACCTATATTACAGCTACAAACTGAGGAATTTGCAATATGAATTATCCCAAACACCAAATCCTTCATCAAGCATATTTTTGAAAGATAGAAGCATAAACGAATCAATACACAAGTTAATAGGTAATTCACGTATCAAGATGAAATGAAAGCAATTCATTCGTAGCATCATACGTTCACCAGTTCAAGATCAAATTTCCCACATTTTTTTCAGCTTTTTTCTGATATCCTAGTAAGGAAACTTTGGTGCAAAACAAAGCAACAGGTTTAGAATCTTTTCTAACCATAAATTATTAAGTGGTAGAAAAAACGCAACACGCCAAATGTCAGCAACCTCTAAACCATAATAGTCAAATAAGATCTGTTCACAATGAAGTATATTTTGACATGCATATGAGCCTTGGCAAGTGCTTTCAGGTGCAATAAATAAACTAACATAAATATAAAAAAATAAGAGTAATATCTAATCAAGCTAAATATTATTATAACCTGGAGGGCCTCAAATGTAATAGCCGGATGTCTTCCCAGTTCAGAAAGTTCAATCAGAAGAAAAGGTACACTCATTCCATTTTGAGATATGGCACCTGGATTAAGCTTAACAATGTCGAGTTTAGACTTGGAAACAACATTGAAGGACAAATTTTAAATTAGGCTAAAATCTATAATAACAATATTGGACTTTCCCTTATAACAAAATGTTGTTTGAGCCACTATTATTGAAGTATGGTGTTATCAAAATTTAAGTATTATTAGAAAGAAGATGCAACATATCAGTTGTTTAATTGTTTGGTTCTGTGTCACCGGTCTTAAAGACTGAAGTGAAATATGGAATGTTGAACAGCTATTCTAGCCTTGCTTACTTTTTTCAAATGCTATTTTTATCCAACAAGATGGCTGCTATCTAGCATCTACAGTAAACTACCATCTGAAATGCTACAAACAGAACATGTCCGTGAGCCCAAAAAATAAAGTCTGTTATCATCTGATAATGATAATAATAATAATAATAACATAAAACATAGATATTAACAGCCAACTTGGCAAAAAAAAATGTGGAAGATCCTCCTGAGAAGACTGTGACCATAGCCATGGTCAAGAAGCCGTCAACACCAATACTACCTCAAACTAAATAATTTATGATTAAATATAGAGCTTGAGAATCATCAACAAAAAACAATTTACATTAGCTCTCGCCATCCTATTTCGGTCACCTATACAGTGAATCAAAAATAACTATCATTATAAAAGAATCTCTCTCAATGTTTCTCTTCCCGACCAGCCCCCACTTCTCGCTCTTCCTCAAACTACCCAACCAAAACCTTTTTTCTCTCTCTTCCCCTCATTCTCTCTCCGACCTTCTCTCACTAAACCAAGAAAGACCACAAAAAAGGAAAAAGGAAAAATAATGGAAAGATAGAGTAAAAAAGAAGAAAAAAAAGTAAACTTAGTCGTTCTTCATCATTGCCTCGCCTGAGGGTAAATAAGTAAACTTAGTCGTTCTTCATCATTGCCTCGCCTCAAGGAACATCTCATGGCGTCTTTGCCATGTCAACACAATGTGCAAAGAGGTATCATAATATTTAAATACCTATATATATATCATTTTGATGAACAAGGAAAACCTATATTGCTTCTACTTTTTTGGTGCAGTGAATGCCATACATGTCTTTCTTGACGTGGTAGGGGAAAGACTCATACGCTCTTTTCATGGCGCAGTGAGAGTTGAAAACTTGTACTGCGAAACTAAATATATGATTGTCTTTCAAGATGCAGCAGAAAATCATATTGTAGCTTTCACGACGGCTCCTATGCAACTTTATTGATGCTGCATATGTAGAAGCCGATCGAGATATCTTAAACACTACCGATCTTTGTTTTTTTCTTTTTTTTTTTTTTGATGAGCAAGCAGACACAAACTTGACACAAATGCTCCCTACACAGGGGAGATGCCAAAAAATTGTAAACGTTTCAATGACATGACTTAAAATGAAACAAGCATAATGATTTCTTGAACCTAAAAAATGACTCAATAAAACTAAAATTGCAAAATGAATTTAAGAATTACTTAACATTGCATACAGGTAGTGCCTAAAGAAATGAAAAACAAAAACTGAATAACAAATTAAACACAGAAATAAATATACAAAGAATTTGCAAGGAACCTTGAAGATCACTAACAAACACATTACTCCCTTACTTGACATTCAAAAATACACTAGGCAAACTAAACATAGAAAGAAAATGAGCTACTTATAAAAAAAGATTGATCATCTGTAGGTTCCACTTGAAAAAAATGGGGGTCAGATACATGTTACATGCAATGGTACAAACACTCCCCAATAACCGTAACTCAATTCATTAAATAACACCCACAGACAAATAGAATGTGAACAATATTAAGCTTGAATTAGAAAACACTTGTAAATGATCGCCACAACCGGCTTTCATACCTTCCAAATCTTTTTGAGTTCATGTGAATCAAAATCTTTTCGAATAAAATCAAATGGCCTAATTCACTACATGTCACAGGTACTAAAATTGTCTTAAGTGACAAGCAAATCAATCGTTAAATATAACTCATCCGTATCTTCAATGATATTATGATCCCGTGAAAAAAAAAACATATTGTTTCACATAAAAAGATTTAAAATAAGGCAAATGGCCCCATGTTTTGTTCCGTGAGTCAAGTGACTGTTTTGAAAAAGGCATGCATCATGAGTCAAATCATCGAGAACAAATTTATGTGTGTGCTCCGACAAATATCTTAGATGATCAAACGAACATCTAAGAATGCTATGCGGACTAATATTAATTGAATTTAAATTGCCTGCTCCAAGGGCAAGCCATCATTTTGGAAAACTCGAACTTCTTTTCAAGATTCAAAGCTCAAACTAGAAAAAAATGTGCAAGTCCGAATCATGAACATTAGAATTCGTAAGACTTGTGTTAAAAAATCATGTTTGTATGCAGATTCTCAATCTAAAACAACTCACTTATTTTCAAGGAATGAGAATCAAATGCTCTCAATTGAATCTCAAAAATTATTTTGTCAACCATTTACCAAAGTACTTCAATGCCTTATAAAAGAAAAATTCTATTCAAAATGAAACATCTCGGTGCTTAAACCCACAAACTGGATCCTCACATATATAGGTAGTGTTGACAAAACATTTAATGCGATGAATACAGCAAAAACAACAAACAAATCTTTATCCCATTAATTTGGGTCAGGTTCATGTTCATATGCATATTCTCAATCTAACACAACTAACTTATTTTCAAAGAATAAGAATCAAATGCTCTCAAACGAATCTCAAAATTTATTTTTTCAACAATTTACTTGAGCACTTCAATGCTTTCTAAAATAAAAATTCAATTCAAAATGAAAGATCATGGTGTTTAAACCCACAAACTAGATCCTTAAATATATAGGTAGAGTTGACAAGGCATATAATTGGATGAATACAAAAACATTAAACAAGATTCTAAGTGGGCTCAGCTACATGAATCATTTTTCAACATATAATGTGACATAAATCCAAAATATTTTTAAATCATATACAAACCAACAGACTAGATCCTCTACAAGTAAATAGGTAGAGTAAACAAGGTCCAAAGAGACAAATTGAAAAGATTCAAAATCTCTGATGATATCAATGTTCATATAAAATTGCAAACAAAGAGGATCTTACTTTCAAAAATATGCCCGAATTTTAAGATGAGACTTCAAGCATAAATTTCAATAAAAATATAAAAATTCACGGTTGTAAAAATTAAAATGAACATTGAACTAGAAGAAGCATAAATTCAAGTTTCAACAGTTCAATCATGATTAAACCAGATGGTGAAATATTATATCCTATTGTTTCTTTGCATTTTTTAAATTATGGGATGATATATTGAATATTGATTACTGATCCGCCATTTCTATTTTACTCAGAATGTATCTACAAAATACATTTTTTATCACTTAGCTAAGGCGTGAAGCTAATATCTGCTTAACCAATATGGTCATCAGCACTAGTGAGGCAAGAATTGTCATCCATTTAGATAGTTTGTAGAACCCTACCACACTGGTAAGGCATTTTTTGCCTGTTCAAGGCCATATTAGGACGCATCGATCAGTCTAAACATCAGCATAACAAACCTACGCGAACTAATATGAATTGAATCTAAATTGCCCGCTCAAAGAGGCAAGCCTTCATTTTGGAAAAGTCAAACTTCGTTTCAAGATTCAAAGCTCAAACTTGATAAATATGTGCAAGTCCAAAATTCCATATCATGAACATTAGAATTCGTAAGAATTGTGTTGAAGAATCATGTTTGAATGCATACTTTTAATCTAATACAACTTATTTTCAAGGAATGAGAATCAAATGCTCTCGAGAGAATCTCAAAAAATATTTTGTCAACCAATTACCTAAGAACTTCAATGCCTTTAAAAGAAAAATTCAATTCAAAATGAAACATCTCGAAGCTTAAACTCACCAACTTGATCCTTACATATATAAGTAGAGTTGACGAGGCATGTAATATCACGACCCGGTCCAGGGCTTGATGAGAACGGACTGTCGGACGGTGGAAAATAAATTCTTTGTTATTATATTTCTATCATTAACAATATTCAAATATTCACGAAAGAGCCACTAAAGAAAGCTAATTTAATTAACAATTAGAAATTTATACCTTTTCGATTGAAGTTCTTGCCTACAATATGCATTATCTCCTCCTCTATTCATCTAAATCAAAAGCTTTTACCTTAAAAAAATGTTGAAGCGACATAATGAATTATCTAAAGATAACTCAGGAGCAATCACACTTCTAAATTACAGTAACATATAAGAAAAAATTCAATATGTATGCTAGTCTTTCATATCTTTTAAAAAAATCTTGGAATACAATAATCGTTCATATTTTCACAAGAAATCTTACATATGCTAATTTATGTATCAATGACCTTTTCTGAAAAGAATAATCAATACTTCTATATACATTTTCTTTACTTTTATTTTATACTCTTTACATATATATCTGGTTATTTTGAGGATCACCGTCAACAAAACCTAACACCCTTGATCGACATTGCTTCATTGGCACAGCGGTTAGCGGTGTAAACATCATACTTATCTAGGGTGGAAAAACTCTTACCTGCTTCCTGGTCAGTGCTTACCTGCTTCCTGGTCATGCTTCCTGGTCAATATTGTCTCATCAGCACAGCGGTTAGCAATGTAAATATCACAATTGTCTAGGGAGTTAAGCTTTGGCGTACTCGCCCATGACCGATATTATTTCATTGACACGCGGTTAGTGATCTAATCATCACAATTATCTCGGGTGATACAAAAACTCAACGCACATTGGTACACAGGTGTCCCTTGCACGTATCATTAAGGGGTGAACTCCTCTAAACATGCATATACTAGCATTCATATATAAGTTCTTTTATTTTTTTAAAGTTGGTGACCTCGTTCTCGTTCTCAGAAGACCTATTCTTGCACGCAGCAAGATACGTGGGAAATTTGAGCCAACTTGGGAGGGACCATTTGTTGTGTAGAAAGTCTATTCAGGAGAAGTCTACCAGCTG